TATCTAATTATCTTATTTTAAGAGTAAAAATACTGATTCCATTGGCAAACTATCTCATTTATCTACTCAAATCAAGGGTAAACACACCAAATTTAAGAGATTTTTACTTATTTCTAGATCGTTTTTCAAGTGTACATCCAGAGTTTTTATTTTTAATCAAAAAAAAGGACAGGCGTTAAAAGTTGGGATGGATTGTATATTGGATTACACATTTTTTTCCAATTCTTGAAATATATGTCATTTACTGATCTATTCTTTGCAGCTCTAGGTAGGTTGGCGTGTTTTGTAATTTTATCAAATTACCTGAGCAGTTTTCTTCCCTTGCATACAGTTTCCCATTAAAAACATGATTCTCCCACCTTCATGTTTCATTGTTCACTTAGTTTCATACTTTGATTTAACAAGTTGCTTCAGTTTCTTTGTAAGAATCTTTTTAGACCACATCTCATTTCTTTCACTTCAACATCATGCTCAGCTGTGCTGTTGAGGAAAAGCCCTGTGAATATTTTCACCATCCACAGTATTAGTATTTCCACCAATTCTTGCAGCTTTGTGTATTTAGGATTGCTGTTTCCAGCAGTTCTGATGTCTCTGTGAAAAACAGGGTTGATTCCTGGAAGCAGTAAAAAGCACGAGGCCGCCTGCTCTCACTCAAGCTGCGTAATTGGCACCCCTTCTCGGTGAGGTATCCCACTCCCTGACTAATGCATCCCACCTCTGCCCACCCATCTATCTGCCTATTCATCCATCCAATCCTTCTGCGGCTTCGCCCTCCAGCACCACATCTCTACAAGCCTCAGCTACTATTATGCACGCCACATTAGCCACGTTTAAATAACAGGCGTGCAACAATGACCTGGACCTATTTCTCAATTTGCGGTTGCAAGTGATGAACTGCTATAATGCTAAGTGCATTAGAAGCTGGGCAATAATAAAGGTACAGCCCGGATGATTGAGTGTGGTGTGAGTGAAACTGGTTTTAGCAAAGCAAGAAAGCTCCATGCAGACTCTGGCAAGGGGCAGATGTTAATGACCTCACACTGTTTGCGGCTGCATGTCATAAATCACCTTCCAACACGCAGCTCTACATCTGGATGCTCATTCTGGGTTCTGTTGCCGTTCTAACCGACAGTGATTTTTCAAATAAATAAAGGAAAAATGCATGAATTCCTAAAAAAAATAAACAGAATGTGTCAAAGATTCAAACTTTTGCTGAGATCCCAAATTATTTTTTGCCTTTGGCTGCAAATCACAGTCAACACAAATGTGAATCCGCCTCTCCTTTTTATATATCCCACTATTTTGCTCCATAAAAATGTAGATATGTGGTGATGCCTCATCTCTCTCTGCAGCAGTGGAGGAAGACCTGAAGCATGAAAAATATGTCTGACAGCTGCAGAGAGAAAAACATATGCAGCTGATAAGCTTGAGTTAAAACAACTGTCAGATGGAGGTGATCAGAGAATATTCCTACAAGGAGAGACACTTTTCAGTTTTGAAGAGCCTCAGGTCTAATTACCTCGGTTCTTATGAAAACATACCTTCCTAAAAAAAAAAAAAAACACCAGTAAGAGATGCCGTATGCTTCTGTTCCTCCTCTGGAGCCTAATTCGTTTTTTTCAGTAAATGAATAATACATTTTGTCAAAAACTTCTAAGATTATTGTAATAAAGAAATAAAGGGAGACAGTTGCTGCTTTTTTCTGTCGTTTTTAATAGAAAATGCTGCCATCTAGTGAATATTTTGAGCTTACAATTTATCTTATTGAGTTGTTAAACCTGCAAGATGCACAATTGACTACAGTATATGTACCATGAGTTGTTTTTTTTTTTTCTTTTGTTTCCTCAACATGTCAACATTAGGGGAAAAAAATAAAAAATAAACCAAATTTTTTGGAAGATTTTTATGAATTTCTTTTTGTTTTTTATCAGCTAAATGCTTAGCTAGATTGATAACAGTATTTAATTATAACATATTGAGGATATATAACAAAACAAAACAATAAAAAATAACCAACAAATCTGCATTAATTGAACTTTCACTAAAGTTATAATATAGATATTTTCTTTAGGATTAAGCTACATTTTATATGGTTTAACTTATTTGTATATGTTGCACCACATTAGGTAAATGCTAGCATTGATATTTATTATTTCTCTCACTGCTGTAAATTAGGAATTACCACAGGAACGGGTCATGAATTCTCTCATAAAGGAAGCACTTCCCTATGCAGCCATTAGGGGGCGCTCATTTTCCATGGTACTGGACATAAGAAAGCAGGCACATCTGAGATCTGTTTTTTTTTTTGTGGCAAAATTCAACAAAATACAGGATAAAACAAGTCATAGAGTTACGTGCTTTACTGAAAATTTTAAAAATCCTTATTAGTTTTTAACGGTTAAGCGCGTTGTTTATTTATAAACAGCTACTTCTCACTTTAGTTATTAACTTTAGCAGAAAATGTATGACTCTTATAAGCTTTATCATCTCCAGCAACCTTTTTGCTTAGTGAAAAAAATATTGTAATATGTGTATATTCTTTCAAATTGTGCTCTTTAAACGAAAACTTTCGTTTACTACTTTGATTATGCTTCAATGTTTACATTTTGTGCAGAAACTAACAATAAATATGGGTTTTCTGTCCTCTGCATTATCATTAGGACTGAATTACGTGCCTACAATTCCAGTTATATTTAGCTGGATTCGGTTTAACCTTCTGCATTCATTTTGTAGTCATAAACAAGCTTTAGATCATTTATGGCTTTCACATATAATTTGATTGATCATAGGAAAATAAGGAAGTTTTATTTTCTTTTCAAAAACCAGATGTAGTAGATCATTATGATGTGCATTTTAACCACCTTAAAGGGACGTTCAAGCGGATAATGAAAACTATCTTTCAATTATTCCTTCAACTTTCTCCTATTTACCATTATCCCTCACTGCCAGTTCCAAAGCATGATGCCACCACCGCCGTGCCTGATGCAAGGTGCAGTTTTATTGTTTCTGAAAGCTCCATCTGGACTCATTTAACACAATCTTCTTTCCTGCTGATAAGAAGCTCAGTCTCTGTCTCCCATGTTGATAAAAGGTTCTACATGCAGACTTTTGACTTGTCCATGTGGGCAACAATTTCAATATTTGATGGAAAGCTGCGTCACTGTTGAGAAAAATAAAGTCCCTCTTTCTCAACTCGAGCTTAAACTCTTTCATTGTTTTTACCACCATACATGAGAGAAAAAAGCAAAGATGTTGCTATTTTTCCTCACACTTATTCGTACCCCAAAATTAGTCCAGCCGCAGCTGAAGGTGGAAATGAAAGGAGATAACTGCAGTATCAGCATAAACAAAATGGAAGCGTAATCAAAGGCAAAACAAATTTCATGAAGGAGAGAAAATAACTCATAAATACCCTCCATCCACTCTGAAATTAGCATGAAGTAGTATGTTTTTCCACCTATAAGTGTGAAAAAAAGGGTCCATTTGATGCAAACACTCATCAGACATTTCTTGCTTTGCTTAAATGAGCAATCAAGGATAATGATGTTCACTGAATCTATTTGCTTTTTATGCAAAAAAGTGTTAAACCATTTAAAGGAGCCAAGAAATCTTTTTTTTATACAGAGCAAAAAAAAAACAAAACAAAAAAACATACAAAATGTCTTGAAGACATTAATGGGAACGGGGCGCTTTTGACTGCATCCGACTGCAATTTCACTTTTTTTTATATATATATATATATATATAAAAAAAAAAAGATGCAATAACAAAAGTTAAAACAAGTTATTTTATATGTTTACAAACACAAAACAATCCCCTCTACCGACTCTTGAAAAAAAAGGAAATAACACAACTTTAATCTTGCAGACTTTTTAATTAATATTAATATTTTGAATAGCCAAAATGAGCCCCTAGAATCTACTTAAAAAAAAAGATTTCTTCTGAAATGGAAACAAAGGTTTTCAAGCCTAAATTGGGATACTGGTTTGTTTATTAAGACCAGAAATCAGTCTTCGATAAACAAATAGGAAAATGCTTTATTCTAGGTTTTAGTCTTTTGATAAACTGGACCTCCTCAGCTAAGTGAACGGGGCATTCTTGGCACAACATTTGTCTAACCCGACCCCGAGGTCACGTCTCCATGGAGGCGCTGAATGCTTTCATCTGGGACAGGAGCTGGATATTCGCTGCATAAACTCTTTGCTATTAGGCTGCAATTAGACACACATGCAAAATAAGTGATCTTGGTGGATAAGAGGCACAGAGAACCCCCCCCCCCCCCCCGAAAGAACAGCTAAACACTGAACTAAAGCAATAGAGTTACCAAGTCCTAAAATGTCGCTCCAAGCTTTTTTTTGTTTGTTCTGATTGGCTCTCTTCTGGGTATTTGTGTTCCATCTCAGCCATGGACATACAAGGGTACCAATGTTGTTTACATTTTCAGACAGAGAGATAGTTGCAAAATAATGTCTAGTTAGTAATTATGTACAATTTTAGATGCACAGATTTAACCTTCTATAACTCAACTTGAAAGCATTTAAAAGCTATAACTGACTATGACTTTAACATGGATATTTTTATAAAGATTTCTAAATTTGCAGAATATTGCAAAATGAATTTCCACTAATATGCATCTAAATAAAAAATGATCTTAAGCTGTTATGAATTTGCATTTCTACTATGTTTGAAAATCCAAATATAATGATCAGCTAAAATGAGGAATATTTGAAGCACCTTTATGTCATGATGGAGTGTACAGCTCGGAGGGAAAGACATTAATATAGAAGCATGAGTAAGATTCCTAATGTTACACCGCCAGCGATGAAGGAGGCTGTTGCTTCAAAAGATGCTCAGTTGGTGCAAAAGAACAAGGAAAACAACCATATTATGAAAGCAATACCACCAGCCTGCACTGTTCATGCACTGCAGGGGGAATTCATGTGGGTCGGGGGGGAATTTAACATTTGGTATGTCTACCTCCACCATCAGAAAAGTGCAATAAAAAAGACGGCACTGGCACTTTGGTAAAGCCACATTTGTAGCATAGCAACTGTAAAAACTGGGCATAGGCTGTTAATATGCTATAAACAAGTAAAATATTGATTTAAATTTGCTATGATTTGAGTTTTCCTCAGAAGGGTTTGAGGTCTCGTTGAAGAGCACGGACCAGTTGCACCATTGCCTCCATCCACAGCTCTTTCTGGTTCTGGTCGCTCATTTGAGCCAGTATCTGGGAGGTGTAGACTAAAGTCAGCACTGTTCGCTCAAAGTCCTGCCAGCTGAGATGTTGCCGCCGGTCGGCCAACTCCGCCATCCGACGCTGGATATCAGAGAGCTTCTTTGGCAGAACATCCTCACAGATAACTTCCAATTTTTTCACACTCCTTAGAGAGGCCAGCTCCTCATCTGGGATCAGCAGGTTGTGCTCCTCGCCCCGGATCTGCATTCCAGCAAGAAGAATCTGCCAAAAAAATTAAAAATAAACAGACCAAACTGGATTCCAAGTGAGATTAAACCCATACGACTCTACCTAAATGGGAAGTGTACTGCAGACATTGGATGTCAAGCAAAATCAGTCAGGAAGTGTTTAGATAAGCACATATTTCACATTGCTACTAATGATTTGCAGCACACAAGTTGCAGATGAAGAGTTCTGTCTGCTGATCTGAACTGACCTCATAAAGGAGCTTAGAATCATCCTCTGATTGCAGGAATGTGGGGTTGATCAGGGAATACGCCCCACGCTTTATCCAGTGAGCCGCTGGATACAGAGCTGGTAGACATAGGAACAGGAAATTAAATTAGACAAGCACACTTTGTGTTCAAGAAATTAAGAAACACATTATTTAATGAGGCAAGGGCGTGGGTGGGCCATAGGTTGAGTAAACACAGATTCATTACAGTTAAAGTATTATGCGTGTGGCAAAGGCTCTGGCTCCAGCTGAGAAGAGGGTAATTGGTCTTCGACCTGATGCACAGTTGCTACTGTTCCAGTAGCTCCACGGTTGCGGCTTTCAGAGCAAATGAAAAAAAAACTGCTTATTAATTTAAAAAGCAGATCAGGGGTTCAGTAATCTAAAATGTCCGTGTATAGGTGGAATTAAACAGCTTCTGCCCTCTTTTCTATGATAAAAGTTCTACAAAAACCACAAAAACGTATTGGCTCACTGCCGATTTGCCAATATATGCACATGTAGTGAACTCAGACAATTTGAATGACTTTATTCAACATGCATTTATTAGTTTCTCTTGTATTATGCTGATGTAACCGTAACTTAATAATTGCCTTTAAAACTTTCTCTAATAGAACCTTATGGTTACAACCGATTCAAACTGCAGCAGGCATTCCAATAGTAATCTAACATGACACTAATGGCAGGAGAAGTCAGCTGTGGCAAAGAAAACTTACTTAAAAGGACAAAGAAAAAAGGGAATTATATTCGCTACAGGAAACTCTGGATTTGCATTGTTTCTCTCAGCAGTGCAGCTAATACCCTGATCTGAATCGAAGCATTCGATTGGGGTCCAGAAGGTGTCTTTAATTAATCAGCATCTGAGGAATTAAGTCAATTTAGCTCCTGATGCTTGTTGTTGGTGTTATTTCATGCCAGCTGCAGCCCAATTAAATCATGCAGCAATTAAAATGACCAATTATTTTTTATAAGATTTCTATTTTATACGTGCCCAGTTTGCAGAACATCAAAGGCTGTCCACTGTATTTATTATTATTTTTTTTACAATTTAGGTTTTAATTGTTAATTGTTGCACTGCACATCGTGTGTCGAAGGCTCTAGGTGCAGATAGCAGCGAAAAAGTTATGATGGCTAAAGTGTTAAACTTGTAACAGGTGATTTATGCACAGAACTGACTGGATGTATGCTGAAATTTGTCATTAGCTGCAGTAGCTGCAAAAAAAAACATGCTAATATTAGCCAAAGCTGAGCAAATGTGCTGTTTTTTTTAAAAATTCTGCATGCAAACTTCTGCATGCAAACTTCTGCATGCAAAAACAGACCCTTTTGCATCGTTCACATAATGTGATGCAACAATGATTGCATGTGGTGCTTCTCCGAGAGGAGAGAATTTAAGTTAAATTAGACTTTTTTTCTAAAAAACAAAAACAAAAAAAGGATGTAATAACAAATGCCAAAAAGTTATTATATATATATTTACAAACACAAAACAATCCCCTCTAAAAAAAAAAGGAAATGATACAATTTAATTCTTGCAGACTTTTTAAAAGTTCATATTAATGGTTTGAATAGCCAAAATGAGCCGATAGAATCTACTTTTTTGAAATAGATTTCTTCTGAAATGTAAAGAAAGGTTTTCAAGCCTAAATTGGTATACTGGTTTGTTTATCAAAACCAGAAATCAGTCAAATCAATCAGCCCACTTTTTCCATTTTATTATAAGGTTGGATGCATTTAAACTCTTTAGATCAAAACTCAGTTTGCAGTGATGAGTCTGAATTTTACAAAAATACCTGTAGACTATAATTAACATGAATATTAAAACTAAAGTGTACAACTTTCCTTATATCTAAACAAATACAACTATACTTTTTTAAGTATTTATTTTAATTCAAAGAAATATTTGGCTTTTTTGCAGGAAAACATAATCTAGACAACATAATATTTGTCAACACAGAGCAAATTCATCAATTAAGTCTTTACCGTTTACCTTTGCCGGTTTTATCTTTTATTTTTCCATAATCTGCTGAAAATTCTCCACAGCCTCCTGTGTTCTGGTGTTTTATAAGCAACACAAATATTAATGAGAAACATTGCACAATAAAAGCACTTGGGTTCATCTGAATTTGGATCCAGCTCTTTTACAATACCTCTTCATCTTATAAAGCTGCCTTGTTAGTTCTGCAGCAATAATTCTCCCCTCTGCCAAAAAGAGCCATATTCAGCTTCAGGTTGCAGTTATGAGGTCAGCCAAAGCCTCTAATCTCCATGTGCACCTGCCTTCAGCTTGGTTTGGTTCCAGACTGGGTAATGCTTTCACAACACAGCCAACATTTCAGATGCACAGAGAATCCTTATCCCTGTGAACCAGAGTTAGGATGATAATTGTACAAATAGTGGCCCATTATGTGTAATCTGCCGGTTATCTGAAAGCTCTCTCCAGCCAAATGTGTCAAAAACCAGCAGGGGCATAAGCTGGGTTTTAACCCCTTATATAGAGTCCCTTTGCAGGGCAGCATCAAAACATAAACAAAATAATATTACTCATAAGTAGATGAATGAATCATGTATTTTCTTGCTTCATATGACAGTAGATATTTGTTTCTACCCTTATTTCCTAAAAAAAATTCTGTACGGAGATCACATTAAATTGCATAAATCTATTCTTTATTTAAAACATATCCATGACAGATATAAAAAGATTCATGTATTAAACTGACAGATTTCAGAATCTGTTTCATTTCAAATTTCAAATGAAACAGATTGTTTCCATCAGATGCACCAAAACATGAACAAAGTGTAACATTATTATAGATCTTAAACAATTAATCGGATTAATCGATTATTGAAATCGTAAGCTAGCTTGGTAATCGATTAATCATTACCTGGAATATAGAGACTGTAAAACATGGTTTTAGCTGACACTTAATTATATCAAAACTGCAAATAAAATATATAAACATTTTGCATCTAAGAGATTTAGTTTCACCTGGTTTCATTTAGTAAAAAAATCGTCTTTAAAGAATCTTTGGCTATTCAAATTATTAATTTATTGATAGATCAAATAATCATTAATCTTAATAAAAAGATGAATCCATTTGCAAAATAATCCTTAGTTTTGCAGCCCTACATTGTTAGGTGGGAATCCAAGCTAGAAATGTTTCTAACTTCAAAATATGATTGAACATCAGAGAAAATGTTTCAAATAGGTTTCCCATTCCTGCTCTGGAGTTACACCGATGAAAAGCATTAGGTGGGATTCATTGCCCGCTTGATCTCCCTTCCGAGTATCGTAAATGGCCATAAGGGTCCCTTCATGGGCGACTGAGCAAAACCTTGATTTTTTTTTCACATCTCGGTTTGACCACCTAGCACATAAGAAAGGATATCAAGTCAAACTATAGACAGAGGTGGAAAACAGGAGGGTTTTTTATGGAAGGTACAGGATGGAAACTACACCTACCGTGTAAAAATTTAATGTGGAATGTGGAATTTAGAAAAATATAACAGTGGCTTCTATTAAAGTACATAAAAAATGCTGTCTCAGGGTCTGTAACTGCTTGACTTTATATCACCTGAAAAATGACAGTTTGCCATCTTTACCAGGCCTTAAAGTCTGCAACCTTACAAATCCACACAGCATTTTACATTTTACACTGAACCCAGCAAAATAAAAATGATGTAGAGCAGCAAATACAACATGGCCTTTAAATAACACACACCTTATACTTGTTAAATATCCGTAATAGAAAATCTGTTGCTATTTTAAACAGTTTATTTGCATTTTTATGGAGGAAACACTGATTTGGGATTTTGTTCAACACTGGAAAAAATGGAAATCTAGATAAGTCATTTTTTTCTTCAAATAAGTGCATTTTTTCTTGGATTGAGGAGGTAAAAAGAGATATTTTGCCAATGGAACAAGACAACTTACGCTTAAAATAAGAAAAACGCTGTTGCGTTGTCTTATTTTAATTGCATATTATCTAAATATTTTATTTTAAGAGTAAAAATACTCATTCCATTGGCAAAATATCTAATTAACCTGCTCAAATTAAGGGTAAATACTCTTAATTCAGGAAATTTTAACTTGTTTCTAGATCGTTTTTCCAGTGTATAGGTTATTTCATGTAAAAAAATAAACTCATCTTTTATTTGTTAAATGCTGTATTCAAAACCATTAGTTTTCTCTTTATAGTTTTTAGTCACTATCGAGTGTTTGGAGATCCAAAGAGCTGCAGGTTTTAGACCCCTAGTCTAATCCCTCCCCATATAATATATCCTCTTGATTTCTTTAGCTCTTAATATTAGCTGTTATTCTATTGAACCTCGTTTTATTTAAGGATTTAAACCATTTGTTTGTGGCAAAGTTAAAATTTGCCCCATAAACCGACCTAGAGGTGGGAGTTCAATCATTGGAGCAACAGCAAAATGTAATTTCTTTGGGTCAATACTAATGCAAACAGGAGGACAGCATGGGACATGTTTCCAATTGGATTAGAAATTATATTGTAAAAGAAAACAGGAAAACAAGAGTCAGACTGTTGCTACATGACATTTGAGATTACTAAGCTGGATATATACATTAAATAAGATATGCTATACAATGCTGCTGTTTGCTGGAAAAGCTCCTGTGGCACTTTACTGCTCTATCGGTAATGGCTGCTTATAATAAAACAGCTGTGATTTTTTTTTTTAAAGATTCATATTTCTTAAACAGCTTGGGTTGGAGGTAAATGGGCCAGTGAGAGTGAAACAAGTTTTTCCATAAAAAAACAAAAAACCAAATAACAACAGTGGTGTGTAAAGTTTATACATTACTGTGAAGTTCTAGACTGATCTCTGTGAGAAACAGAACCGAGAGATGCAAAAGATATTTTGCCTTGGCCGCCATTAGACAGTTTAATGCCTCTTGAAGGACTTAGTTTTTTTATTATGATTATTTTTTAATGTAATTTGATGGGTTTTTTTTTTTTACCCTATTTTATATGTTTGTATCATTGCTGTCAGGCAGGTGGATTTCCCGTCTTGGGGGTTAATAAAGCATCCATCCATCCATCCATCCATCCATCCATCCATC